CGAAAGTAGGTGTATGGTCTTTACTGTTATCATTTATCACCTCTTTGAAAAGTCCTTACAAGGCAGGTCCTAAGTTTGAATGTAGCACTCCCACACTACTTCTTTGAGATAATCTAAGGTTGAAGCTCATAGGTGGGTGCAAACTTCTAAACGCCAAAAGCCATGTTGTTGTAGTTGAACCTTAGAAATCATCAACATCACCAACGCGCATGTTCAAATTTCACTCTCGGAATTTCATTTCCACGTCATGTCCTTTCACAAGCGAAAAGCTGTAAAAAATGTTTTTGAAGATTACTCCTTGAACCTATAGGTCAAAACGTTAATTAGTTATGCTCTCTCATACATAACACTTATTTCTATACTTCACGATATTCCTTTCTCAACAAATCTACTCCCAAAAAGGCCGCCTGCGCAGCCGGTCAAGTGGGAAATGGGCCGTCAGCCACCATATTATATCAAGAACCACCATCACTCTTTGCAAAACGCCTGAGTTAGAATCAGATCTTTCGTTGTCTCTGGAGCATCGACCCTATGTTCCGAGACCAAAGAAACCAAAAAAACTGCAAAATAAAATCGAGAAAATTGGATTAAAGTAGAAAATCATCAAACAATTCTAGAAGTAGAGATGTTTTCCCCAAAATAAATAGACACTACAGCAAAGGAATATGCGCAATCACCTTCATAAATGAATTCAGCAGATGGTGTAGGAGAGATAAGCTTCCTGAGGTCGCCAAAGACAGGATCAGGTTTGTCATAGCATAAGCCAAGGCCGCTCTGAAATTTCATCAAAATAAAAAGTGAATTAGGGCTTTTCAACCAACCAAGAAGCTCTGCAGTACTGTTTCCGTAATACGATCCACACTCGACTTCCTGCTTTTTGACACAAAAATGAACATGAGAATGACTGAGAGTAACCCTCGTTTTGCTTGAGCCTCAAAAACTTACTTATTCAGTAAGAAAAGCTACGCTCAAGAAAATGGACTTACCGATGTATCAAATGGATAGATTTCCTCAAATTGATTCATACGTATGATGTGAGATTGATTATTACTATGTATGACCTGAAACAAACGTTGCAGTCCGCCGAACTTCTGCTAACCAGCTGCTTCCATAAGTTAAGGGTTGGACCCCAAATTACTGATAAACAGAAATCGACGCGATTATCTGACGCACCATTCTCAAACCTATCTACACCTTGCGGTAAATAAAATCTTATATCTATTTAAAAAGATGTACTAGGGCTGCTACATTTGCTGACTTCCACATTATCAGCTTTTTTGTGCTATCGCCATAGAATGAAATCAGGAAAAAATTTACTTTGCATCCGAACAATCGCTCCAGAACCGCACTAGCCTCTCTCAAGACATGACAATATTCACTTCTTGAAAGGAAATGCATTTTTTGAGCAACAGAATCTCTAAGCGCACCGTCCTTTTCCTGAAAATAGTTAAGTCTTGCCAAACACAAACACCACAACTTGTTATGGGTTTGGGAGAGATTAAAACTTACAGCCGATGAAGCATGGAGCAGGTGACGGGCAAGATGTCGTATTTTCAACGCTCTGCCTTCTTCGGAATCATCCTGTATGTAAAGCCTATATTAAGTAGTCGCACATTTATCAAAAACATACGGTAAGCAAGCATTTTTAAGAAAGCGGACGCCTTTGGGACAGCAGCGAAAATCTTGACGCTGACATACCGCACAATCACCCTTTGATAGCAACAACTTCCGATGGCTTCCACGCATAAGGTGCATATTAATTACTGTGGCATGACGTGACTACCTTCGGCGTTTGACGCTATCGCAATTGAAGACCCCCATAGCTGCCGATGTTGGCTTCCGCCGGCGTCAGCGAAAGTCGCCGCTAGAAGTCTTTCTGGATGGAATTCTTGCAGGGTCGAGCGGCGATTTTGATGCGCTTGTGCAATCTTTGGCAGTTTATTTCTTTCGGCAAATAAATAAATTGAAAAAAAAAGGACACAAGAAAATGTGTTTACACCAGGAATTTGAATTTGCACCCATTGACACCTCCCGACGCCGGAGGAAGTCGGGATCAGCGATCGCTCACGTCCGCCATACCACTCTCTCAGGTATACATAGAGCCTTAAGGCTGACTATAACGTTTGTTAGCGCAATTAGAGCATCTCCATACTTCAAAGGATACAAGCGTGACAAGGATCGGTTGATCAAAGGTGCGCGCGCTTGCATTGCGGCCACCCTGTTGAGCGGCAATTGGTTTCAGAAGATGGTAGAAAGTGTGCCAGATTGATGAGTACCGAACCCGCCAAGATGTATCTGACGCCGCAACGCAACGCCGATCTCGATCAACCATCTTGTTGCACTCAAAAGCGTGGGATTATATTCATATGACCATCGCTCACTCTGATTCGGAATGATGAATATGATAAATTAATGTTATCTCGTTTCATTTCAGAATAATGAGACACTGTCTGAAGATTTAAAGCTAAAAGCTAAGAAAGTTGAAGTAATAGGTGTGGGGTTTTTGTTTGTAGCTCCAACAAAATTCAACACCAAGCTCTCGCACTACCCATACACCATCGGCTACCTGGTATATAGTTGAAATCTTTCTTGTTGTCTTTAAAAGCTCAATATAGCGTTATTAGCATGTAATAAAGTGACAGCCGAGAAAAGTCGCATCACTCGAGCGAATCCCCTCATGCTGGGCATAGCTTCAGTATCTTATTATAGGCTGCATTGGAGTGGCCTCTGGTCACCTTCACCAGTGAGCGAGGAAGGAGTAAAACCCTCAGCTGAGAGAGTTTGAGCAAATCAAGTTCCAGGAAGGAACCCCAGGTAACTAGGTAACCCTAGGTTTACTAACTAGAAGTTTGAGGCTTAATATAAGATCAATAGAGGGAGGAAAGGGCTTTCGCTTTATTGACAACGAAATAAGATTAAGAGATCGTACTACATAAGCTCTATAGATAATAGAACGATGAGGAGCTTTTCTCAATGAAAATGAAAGGGTAGTTTTGAAGGTAGAAGTGAAGCTGACAACGCAAGAATGAAAAGTGCGATTTGCCCTACTACTATTTCTTTCAAAACAGTCGATTTGTCTAAGAAATTCAAAAGCACGCATCGTTGGAGGTAATAGCTATCGTATTCAGAATTGAACTATAGAAGCATCTAAGTCAAATAGCTCAATAGTAGAAGAGAGAAAAGAGGATAATTCGTTACGACGAAATATGGAAGTTGCGCAATTGTGAGCAGGATTCTCCGTGCGATTCTGAGCAGAATGACGTATGGATGTTAAGGGTTTTAGTAGG